CAACCAACTGTTCTGTAAAATGCAAATTTTGTAGGGGAAATGCTTCCCCTGGGAGAAAATAGAGCGGCTGTCATGTGAGAAGTTATTTTTAAAGGAACACGCCAAATGTCTCCTGTGCTTTAATGTTTTATCAAAAATTTCAATGAATAGAGGACCCTTTGTGAACGATCAATACACACACATTAAGAGAGAGAGAGAGAGAGACCCTCCCAAAAACGTAGCTGAAAATTCATATATAAGTTGTGAAATATCAAAACAAGTAGCTCAATAGTTTGCTTATACCTCCTTTATGTTGGCATGAGACTTTGATTTTCACTCATCTTTATTTTATCCCTAAAACAAGGATTAATCTAAGGCGATAAAGCTATTTTTTCAGGTAGTGTATCAGTTAGCTATTGCTGCATAATAAACCCCAAAACTCAATGGTTTAAAGAGCAATGATTTATTCTTGCTCAATGGTTTAAAGAACAGTGATTTGCATGTTGGCTGGGGTGGCTCTGTGATCTTGGCTGGGTTCAGCTGAGCTTGGCTGCAAGCTACGGGTTGTGTCTGGGTCTGTTCATTGGGCCAGTGGGCTGCCTGTGGCGTGTTCTCATAGTGAATGGCAAAATGCAAGTGGACCAACTCAACTTCATAAACATATTTCAATTCCCTTATGTAACTATTCTGCTAACATCTCATTAGCCAAAGCAAGTCACATGGCCAAGCCCAAACCGACAGTTGGAGAATGCTGTGGTCTGATTGTGTGTGTCCTCTCCAAATTCATATGTTGAAATTTATGTTCAAACATATGTTGAACCCCTAAGATGATAGTATTAGAAGGAGAGGTCTTTGGGAAGTGATTAGCTCATGAGGGCTCCTCCATCCTGATTGGTATCAGTGCCTTTTTAAAAGAGGCTCCAGAGAGATCCCTAGCCCCTTTCCACTATGAGGACACAGCAAGAAGTTGGCAGTCTGCAACAGCTTTCACCAGAACCCAACCACGTTTGTACTCTGATCTTGGATTTCCAGCCTCCAGAACTGTGAGAAATAATTTCTGTTGTTTATAAACTACCAGTCTCTGACATTTTCTTATAACAGCCAGAACAGACTAAGACCGAGAAGTATGCTCTACCAATCATGCGGCCACTTGCATGGCCAAGCTCAACTTCAAGGGGTCAGGGTAGTGTACTCCTCCCAGAGTAGAGGGCAAAGGGAGTGAATATTTGCAAAACAACAATCTTTCCTACTATTAGTAGAAAAATAGAGGCACAGCATTTTGCAACACAAGCCATGGTGCTGATATTTGAATGATTTTCCTGTTCTAAGAGAAAAAGGAGGAAATAAGAATTGAGTACCTATAGTTACCAAGCACTCTACTGAGAGTTTTCTCACGTTATTTCATTTAACCTTTTAAGAACACCATAAAGAAGATATTTGTAACCCTGTTTTACAGATGAGGTGACAGGCCACAGAGCTGGTAAAGGGGAAGTCTAAGAGTAGATCATAGTTCTAACTGGTAGCCTTCAAATGCTTTGAATATTGGGTCACTTTTATTTTTTTTGTCGTGGCAAATCAAGCACTTATTTCTTAAGGGAAAATATTATCTTTACACTGTTCCTATTTACCCCTGAAGCAAGAAGAGCTGTAAATTTTCTGAGCATAGCTGCCCATCATTCTTGATACTCAACGTGTTGACTCAAAGCGATTCTCTTGAATACTCGGATTATTGATGCAAGTTGGTTGCTCAACACATGCTTTTTGGCTTCTGGGTTAGAGAGGCTGAATGGTCACGTAACATGAGTGTGACTGGACCCTCTTTACTGTCTTACATGTTTTGCTATCCTAGGGGGATGGGGGTGTGGGGTGGAAGGATGGAGAAAGCAGGAATTCTGGCCAGGAAACGCTGCCTGGAGAGGATTTCAGATGAACCTACTAGTTCTCTCCTCCACTCCCATCTGAAATGCCCTGTCAACCTAAATGTTAGCTTGTTTGTTACTAATGTTTAGCAAACATTATTGTGCAAGACACATTAGTGGTAGTGTAGAGAAAGGTAGACTGAGGACTGGGGATGATGGGATTCATCCCATGAATCTGTGTTCTCACAAGCCCCACGATTCGTGTTTTATCAGGCGATTCTGATGCCCACTCAAGTTTGAGTACTACTGTGCTAGGCCATCAGGCAGAGAAAGCTCTTGGCTTCTATTAGTCTTTCCATTTGCTCATTCATTTCAGGTTAGTGGAGGGTTCCTATTCTTATTTGGGGATGGCAGGGGCCAGTGTCTGGCTTCGGTATTCTGGGCAGGCCAGACTCGGAGGAGCAACAACTGCCACTGAGCCTGTAAAAGACTCAGGAGAGCCACTGTCCTGCTGCATACTCAGCTACACAGTCCCCACAGAGATTGGCAGTGGCTTCTCCACAGAAGTTCAGGCTTACCGCCAGGATCTAACCCAGAGTTCTCAACCTTGGCACTACTGACATTTTGAATTGTATAATTCTTTGTTGTGGGGGTTGTCCTGTGCATTGTAGTATATTTATCAGCATCCCTGGCTGCTATCCACTCTATGCCAGTAGCACACATCCTGCCCCCTACCCCCAAGTTGTGACAATCAAAATGTCCTCTGAGGGACAAAAATCACACTGCCTGCTCCTGCCCCCTGCTTTGAGAACTGCTGGTCTTACCTGAGTGACCACTAAGTAGAGGTGGTCGCTAGGAAGTTCTGTTCTCAGGAGAACGAGCAATGGAGAGACGAGTGGTGTAACTGCAAGGACCATGGGGCATGGGGCAAAAGTGGCTTTGAATCTTGGCCCCTCCAATGACCAGTCATTGACTTATTTCCCTATCCCCTCTTCACTCCCAGTTTTCCCTAACCAAAGAAAATCCGCACATCCACAAACATTATTTTCATAAATGACCTTTACTTCTTTATCATTTCTCTGAACAGTAATTCTTGGCAATGTGCATATAACATGAAGGCAAGCATAACTTTCAGAAGTCATCAAAGATATGGTCCTATTGTCCGCATTTTCTTAAACCGTTAAAATATTTTCATTTATAAAAATCAATCTAAATATAAATATTGACACCGAAGATCAAAATCACTTAATGACAAAATAATTCTTCTGGAACTATAACATATGCTAATGATTTTTAATAGTAAATTAAATCTTTGCACTTATTTGGCACAAGGAAACCTTTATAAAAATTCAAATGCCATAGAGCAGGCTTCTTCTTTTTTTGTTTTTTTGCAAGGCTTACACAGTACACATTTTTGTCAAAGAAAACTGAATATTTTAACACTGTAACACAACAATAGTTGCTTTTCATGCCTCTTTAAAAAAACATTCTATTTGGAACTCAGATCGCTTTTTTGTTGTGTTTTTAAAATTTGTATTTGTTTGCTTTGAATCACACCAACAGAACAAAGAGCCAAAGATTTACTTTATTTCAAAGGAGTCATTTCTGTTGGATAACACATACACAGCATCAGCAAGGAGTATTATTGGAAGGTAGGTGGACCCCCATCAGGAATGGATCATCACGCACATTTCAGCAACAAATCAGGTCTGGAAATGTGCATAGCAGCAAAAGAATGGAGAAGTGGAAAACAACAGAGTGAGGCATTCCAATTATACTTAGCTTAAAGCTGTGACTTTGGCAAATTAATCTCTCTGACCCTCAGTCTCCAAATCTGAAAAACGGGGATGCCTGCTGAATAGGGTTGCTATAAGGATTAAAAAGAGAAGAATATTCCCTCCTTCAGAGAAGTCACTTACTAAACATAATACTATTCCCTTGCCTCCCATCTTTGCCTTCTTCCTCAGATTCAGAAAGTATGAGGAGCGAATAAAAATAAAGGGTTACTATGCTCAATTAACTGAGTGAAATTCCAGTTCCACTTGTTTTTATAAACACACTCTAAATAGACCTGCATTTGAGACTGTGAACGTAGAGTTAGTTTTGACTCTTGTGTCCATTGAATTCACAGTTTCTCCTTGCTTTTTTCATACCTGTAAGTTTTCTAAGGCTATTCCTTAACTATTTTTATCTTTAAGGTCATGGTACTACTTTTGCTGAACATTTATTGGGAGTAAATTTTGGAGGGCAACATGTTCTCATGCGGCTGTATTCTGCAGTAATCCGGTTAGTCACCTAAACCTCATTTAGATGCAGTCATTGCTAAACCGCATCGTGTTGATTCTGGATAGCGCCCTAAACTTAAGCCAATGGTGGGCTTTCTCACACCCTTCTGCCTTTCAGAGTAGGGAAATTCTCAGTAAGTCCAAGGAAGAACCCTAAATTCCCAGCGAGACATTGTTTCAGGCAGACCTGGGCATAGCGTGGGTGAGTCAGAGCTTTCCATTCTTGGCTTGTGATTGCAAGGCAATGGGAATGACTGGTAGTGCAGTGAGCTAGGAGCTTAGCAGGAAAGAGGTGGCTGAGGGGAGGCCTGCATCCTTGATGGTTGAGTGCTCCCCAAATTTGACAGTCCCAAGTGCTCATCACAGGGGCATTTCCACTTTTTTCCTTAGCATTTGTGAGACAAAGATTCTCGTGGGAAATTGATAAGAACTGATGATGAATTAAATGATAATATCCATCTCCCTTCCCTCCACCATCCCCCCATCCCAACAATATTCCTTTGGACAAATAGTTGACATGTAATTCTAGTTGAATCAAAGGGATAAAAAAAAAAGGGATCTTAAAGACAACACACAGTAGCAAACAGGGAAAAGATGCATCTTTTGAACATGGAGCTCTACTGTTGGAAGCCAGCGTCTTGGTTTTCTGTCTTGGATTCCCCCGGGAGCCTAAGGCAGAGTGGGCAAGACCACGGTGCTGAAATCTGGGACTGCTTTCTGGGTGAGGTATCAGGACAGCCCTGTGCAACGGTGCACTGTGGTCTCCCCAGGCCCTCTCCTTAGGTGGAAATCCATACAGTATTCCATGGCTGTTGGGTCAAGGCACTGTCGTGTACGGCCGGAGGCAGTGGGTCACTGGCAGTGGAGTTCCATGGCGCTAATACATCACAGCAGACTCCAGGCTGGGCTCCTGAGGCGAGACAATGAGCACACTGTCGTCAACCACTTGGCAAAAGTGAGGAGAGGTGATTAAAAACAATGTTCACTGCTTTTTTATAGCATAAAAGGTATTTGTGCTCATTGACTAGTTAAGTATTTCACCAGAATTACGACTTTAAAACTTATTAGCGTAGATTTACATCACATTGTATTTAAATAAAAAATTTTAATCTCTATTTTAATCTAGTTTTATTTAATTTATTTTTTCTTTATTTGGCTTACAAAAATTCTCTATTTTCTATTTTTCCAAAGAACAAGTTCTTGGATTTATGATCATTTCTATAGTTTTCTGGTTTTAATGAATTGGTTTCCGCATTTATCTTTGATGTCTGGAATTCAATGCCTAGTTCATCTATTTTGTTTCCTCCTTTAATTAAGAAGAAAATATTTAATATTATGAATTTGACTCAGCATAGTTTCATACATGTCTCATTTGTTTTCATATATGTAACCTGTTCATTTTCCAAATGCTCTGTGGATTTGCTCTTCTTTAATTCAACAGTAAGTTGTAAATGTGTGTGTGAGAGTATGTATGTGAGTATGTGTCCATGTATAGTTGTGTGTATGTGGGTGCAAATGCTTTTAACTTTCAAGTGGGTTTCTAATTTTCTAGATTTGCCCTTATGTGGTCTCTAGCCACATGTGGCCATATACATTTAGATTAATTAAAATTAAATAAAATTTAAAAATCAGTTCCTCCAAGGCAGTAGCCACATTTCAAGTGCTCAAGAGCCACATGTGGCCAGTGGCTACCATAGTGGGCAGTGCAGATGTAGAACATTTCCATCATTTCAGGAAGTTCTATTGAAGAGCACTGTTCTGGATTATTTTTGGCATTGGGGTCACAGAGGGTAGTTTTATACTTTCTACTTTTGGGAATTTATTGAGGTTTTCTTTGCAGCTGCTATAAAATGAAGTTTATAAATGGTCCCTTGATGTTTGGAAAGAAAATGAATCCTCTATAAAGAAGAAAGTTAGATAAATATCTTAATTAAATCTTAATAATTACACTATTGAAATTCTCTAATTTCTATTTATTTCTGGTATACTTGGGCTTCCAAGAGCTGATAGACAAATTTTAAATTCACCAACCATGGCCCAATAAATTGTGTTGCTCTATTGTTGCCAAATCAGGAAAGGCTCATGACTTACCTACTTTATTTTATCAAAATTAAAAGGTCCTCCTTCCTTGTTTTCTCTGAATGCTTCTTGTCTTGAATTCTCCTTTTTATAAAAAAAGTAATTTTCTGCCCTTTCTTCTTTGTTTGCATTTGTTTAGTAAATATTGTCCATTTTTTCATTTTTAACCTCTCTGTTATTTATAGATAATTTATTTTAAAGAATTATTTATTGAGGTGAAATCCACATAACATAAAATTAACCATTTTAAAGTGGACAATTAGCGGCATTTAGCACATTGTTGTGCAACCACCACCTCTATCTAGTTTCAAAACATTCCATCGCTCTAAAGTAAAACCTCTTACCCATTAAGCAGTTTCTTCCCATTCCTCCGCCCCACAGCCCCTGGCAATTACTGATCTATGTTCTATCTCTATGAAACATAATTTACTTTTAACTATCTTATTTATAACAGATTCCTTCCCTGGCCTTAGTGGTCTGCCCTTTTAGCGTCATACGGCGTCTTTTTAGCTCTTTGAAGTAATGGCCAGAAGCAAGGTAACTGGACTTGGAAAGGTCAGAGGTAATGGCTGACCAAGGAAGGAAAGGCAGTGGGCAGCATTATTGCCGTATGGTGCCTAAGAGATGCAGTAATCTGTAATTCAAAAGCACGTGCCCACCATTATGCCATTATCTGGTGCTTCTGTGCTCATGACACAGGGACAATGAGGGGGAGGAATGAGAAAGGAGCAATGGGTGATGCATAACAGGCAACAGGATACATTTGCCCTTTGTTTCAATCTTGTCACTCCAGACATAGTCTGCCCTTAGCATAATGGTATCACTGAGGCAGTTTAGCTGGATCATCATCTCCTATATAAGCAGCATCAAGCATTTGCCAAAATTCTGAAGCATATGTTGGTGTTTAGGCAAATCATCCATTAGCTCTCTCTATATGACCTCCAGGTTTGTGCAAATTATCTACGGTCTCTTCCTTTACTGCATTTATGGGCAGCTGCTGACTTTTCTCGGGAACAGAGGTAACTAATGGGTAACAAGAAATTTAAGAAAGAGGGAATATGGATCAAAAACAAAATAAAAACGCTTACACCTCAACCAGAACTTACATTTCTGTGTATGTATTTTTATTTCTCTTATATCAAACCTGGTTCCTATAAGGAGCTGGAGATATAGTTGAGAGGATGTATCTGCATATCAAAGAGGTTAGCAATACAAAGACCCCCCCACTGCCCAACCAAAAGACCATGAGATCAAGCAGGAAGGATGCTTCTTGGGGCTCTGATGGGGGAGCTACAGAAAGAAGAGCTACAGAATGGAGGGCTATGTACATGTACCCACATTACCAGAATGGAGCGAAAGTGATGGGCATTAAGACAGAGATGACGTTTACCATCAAATCCTTGGTGGTGTTTTTCCTTTCTTTAGTCCTGTTTGTTGAGGAGCCTTGGAGAATGAAGTTACGGTTAAATGTTTTAATTGTGGTCACTGAAGGTGCCTCAATTTTTTCAGCTAAAAGGAAACAGATGGGAATAAGTGTTACCCAGAAGATGGAGCAATTGTTAAGAAAGATGAGGTATCGGATTACGCAGATTTTTGTTCTAGACTTGGCATCTCATTTTGGTCCAAAGGTCTGACTGTGGCATCTTCTTATTTTGTGGTTATTTTTATGATGGACCAAATATATCAAGGCATCATTAGTGGCTTTCTGGGAAAAGGTAGCTTGGAGATAATCCAATGCAGTCCATAAATTCTTATTAGCAATTCTGAAATATAAAAGTTTCTGAAAACTATAAAGCTTTATAACTTTAAAGCCAAAGCTGTCTGATGGCAACACCTGACTTGAACTAAAATGCAGCCATTTAAAGTCCTTGTCCATCTCACTGAGTATGAATATTCTCATGCTCTGCTGCGAAGATACAAATGTGCTTATCAGATGCTGCCCCAGATAGCAAGGGCAGGGGCTGTTATGAAATATACAGTACATGTACCATATTGCCTTTCTAATGTCCAAGAAATTCTGAAACACATATTGACTCAAGGGTTTCAAATAAAGGATCGTGGCTCTGTAATAAATTTTAATTGTATAAAGTTTTGTGGAATATAAAGCAGGCATTCATTAAATGGTTGTTGAACAATGAATGATGGAACCAAGATTCAAACATACATCTTCTGACTTTCTACTCTTCTAATTTGTAGACCTAAATTTCTAGTTTGGCATCATCATTATGTGGTTCCTAAATCCAGGGAAATGGTTGAAAATGTCCAGCAGATAAGGGTGTTGCTGGAATATCTTCTAGGTTGGGCCCTGTGTTATATGCTTTTGGTGCTGTGCCCACATCTCCCTGACAGTCACTGTTCCAGCAGATTCTGTCAGCTTCCTACTGTAAGCACCACCACTCTCTCTTGGCCCATGCATGTGGCAAGTCACAAGTACCAGGGATTTGATCCTCCCCAGGAATAACCTTCAGGCAATGATAGATGAGAGTGGAAATACCTCATGTTCCTACTCTTTGAGCAGAAAACACTGAGGTGGTGTTAATACTGTCTCCTAGAAGTCCCCAGCAGGATTTAGCCTCCTTTGCCCAAAGAAGTAAACTACTAATTAAATTTCACTGTATTGACTTGATTTCCTTCCCTGAATCATTTCTCTCTTTCCCTGCCAGCATTTCTTGGAATCACATCCTTGTCCCAGGGTTTACTTCCTGGGGGGATCCCAGTCAAGACAGACTTGACACAAGACCAATTCCGGGTGAGAACTCCCCATTAAATCTGGTCCTTAAACTCAAATCTCTGAGTCACTCAAAGTAAATGAGTCTGGCTGAGTTCTTTGGCAGCTTTGTGGTTTTAATTTTAGCATACCTTTCACTGGTGGAGCAGGCAGTTTCCTCCTCTGCTGCCTTGATGTGTCTATGGTTTGTACCTACAAACAGAATGCAGCAATCAATACGGCTTTGCAAAGCCAAAGACATTTTATCTTCTAAATTTTCCAGGTCGTGCAGTATTCCCACAGGGAGTGAGGGACAAACGCACCTGGTTCCTTTGCTTCTGATCTCGTTTTCTGGTGAGGCGCACACACGGTGCTATGTTTAATCCTGCAATGGTCAGGGCTGAAATCCGGCTCTCAATATCAGAAATCTTAATGCAACAGAAAGACAGAATCAGTAGGGAGAAAGCACAGGAGGGGAGAATCTTTGCTAAAAGTGTTATGAATCTGTAAAGAATAAATCTGCTCTGATGTATGCCCATTCATTCATTCATTCAACTTCTACCGAGCTCTTCTCTATTTAGTGCTATAGTGAGAAAATAAAACACAGGCCTTTCTTTGTAAATTTAAACTCTGGTAGCTCTAGAGTATATCAACACCTCTGTCACAGTACCCCTAGGGATAAATGGAAGCCCAGGACATGATGGGAACCCTGGCCTAGGGCCACCTGGCTCAGCAGAGGGCGTGGGGGCAGGTGGTCAGAGAAGGCTTCCCTAGGAGGGAACATGTGATGTGAGTGTTGAAAGGTAAGCATGACTTATAGGTCCTACTTCCTCCTTCCTTGACTCTGTGAACCAAAAGCACAGCACTGGATCTTAGGAGGAAGGCCCAGCAGCTCCTGGTTTAAATCCATTTCTTCCATTAAGAGGCCAAATGGCCTTGAGAAACTTCCTCCTCTCTCTAGGTATCAGTTTCTTCAACTACAACATTGGAAGGTCAGAGAGAGTTCAGATTTCCCTCCAACAGAGCCTTAAGGCAGATATAGAGAGCAAGAGCCCACTCAATGCTCAGACAGAACCCCGGTCCATCCATGTCCCCAGGGATGAAGAAGACACAGTCTCTGCTCTTAGAAAAGGGCATTAGTATATGCCGTCACCATGCTAAGAGCTTTAAATACATGAACTTATCCATGCCCCATTCATGAACTCATTCATAATCCTATGACATCGGTACCATTCTCCTGGTTTTACAGATGAGGAAACTGCTTGAGAAGGATAAGTAGTATACCCAACATTCCACAGTTGGTCTGGGGCAGAGCTCAGAATTAATGCCAATGCTCATGCTCTTGCCACACTGTCACCTTCTAAGAGAACTTGCCAAGGGGTGGCATGGGGGACGCCAGAAGAGGCAGGAGAAGGCTAGCAGAGTTGAGAGAGGAGGCGGGGATCACAGTCATCCTGCAGAGATGGGAGAGCCTGAATGTTGCTGGGATATCAAACAAGAAACCTGAAAGTAGGCCCAGCCGCCAACGTGTGTGTGCTCCACTCCAAGGTCTCCATTGCCTCCGCTAGCCCTAACTGTTTTGTTGCTACTCAAGACAAATTCTAATTCTGCTGTCATTTACTGAGGGCTTCTTTGGACAAAGCTTATTGAGATAGGTGCTAGAGGAAGTGTAGAGCGAAGGGCTGAAAGGTCAGCACATATGGGAGATGTTTCCCCTATCCCCAGGGAGGGGCAGCCTTGCTCAGAAAAGGAGGGGGAGGTAGGTGAAGGCCAGGACTGGCAGCTGGTGAAAGGATGCAGGTCACCCTGCCCAGCATCCAGCTCCCAGAAGGGCCGCTGTGCAGCCCTTGTCCCTCCCTGGCCCCCAGAGGCCTTTTTGTTCTGACTCCTCAAATTTCACACTGAGAGCTGCATTCCTTGGGTTTATAGACCAAAAAATTGAACAAGACTTTGAGAAAGGTTGAAGGCTAAACTTTTATCAGTCTTTGTGGATTAGATGCTCATATTCTTTCCTGCAAGCAGTTTTGATGGAGGGCCTCGCTCAGAGGGCCCTGAGAGACAGGTCAATGGGAGAATAAGCTGTTGACCTCCTGATTTGCTGCCAGGCTCTGGAATAAGAAGGGGTTAATGTTTCAAATTTTAGTCTATAAGGAAAAGGACAAAGAAAGAGGAAAGGAAACTACTGAGAGCTGATTTTGCCTCCATTTTGTTATCTATCTATTTAATTATGTTCTACTTAATTACTAAGGCTTCATACTCAATGACCCTTACACTTGCTAGAAGGGGATGAAGAATTCAGCTCTGAGTCTCCTGGAAGCCAAAGCAAAGAGATCAGTGTAGGACTCTTACATCCACAAGATAAAGACTAAGTACTGAGAAGAACAGCCTGTCCTGATACTATGAGTTAAGAGAAACTTTCCCCAGGAATGCCCACAGGGATGACCTTGCATGACACAGTGGACAGCATCCTTAGCATGCTGTCCAAGGACCATCCTGCAATCTCCTTCAGCACTGGGCAATCCTGTCCCCCAGGTAAACTCCAACTTGATAGGGTCCATAGAAACTGACTTAATTCAAAAACATGATTTAACACAGCTACCCTCTTCAGTGGAGGCCCTTCTACCATCCTGCAGGACACCCCCTGTGACATCTTCTCTGAGACTCAGCTTTGGGTGAGAACAGACAACAGGGAGTCTAAGACTTCATTCTCTGGCAGCAGCTCGCGGGAGGGGAGAGTCTCCACGCTAATGAAGGTTCCCATGTTGAAAAGATCCATAAAGCTGAAGGCAGGCTTGACAACCTCCCTTTCAAATGAAGGATTCTTATGTAAGTGGATATATGCCTGATGGCAAAACCAACACATTTCTCAGAAAACCACAGACTGGTGAAGAATGTGGGCTGTGTGGTCAGAAAAACTTGGGTTAAAATGCTGGCTTCATCTCTTTCTAGGTGACCTTGGGCGAGTGGTTTAACCTTTCTGAGCCTGTTTCCCCAGGTATAAAAGTAGAACAATACCAATAGCCACCTCATAGGGTTGCTGAAAGGATTAAACACAACAGGGGCATCAAGCGTTAAGCACAATTTCTGCCACAAAGTAAGGCTCACTGAATATTAGGTGTTATTGATAACATTATTATAATATTTAAAAATGAATAATAAATTAATAGGCACATTCAAACACACGGATAATGGACATTTTGGACTCCAGGATTTTCTGCAATAAAACATGGCTTCAATAATTTAAGCCAAAAAATATTTGGAAGGAGGAATAACTAATTACCCAATAAAACTCTCCCAAACACCCATAAATGATATTACTTCTGTTAAACCATTCAAGAAGCATTTGCTGCAAAAGGTACCCCCAGAAAACAAATGATTTGGTTCTACTTTATATAACTTTGAATATAAATTAATTAAATGTTGGGTGGCATTTATGGAAAATGATTTTTATTTAAGGAGAGTTGCTCTTCAGCCATTCTTGCTGATAATAAATAGTCAACAGGGCCACCTGCGGTGAGCCCATTCTTAGCATGCAGCCTTAAATCACCCACAGAGGGGATAATCAGCACCCTCGCATTCTCAAGAGTACTTAATGATGTCAGTGGTGGTTCCGAGTTTTGATGCTTCAAAATAAAAGTTTTCATTTTTAAAATAGTTACCACCCATCCTCATCTTCTCTATCCAGAAGGGGTTTCTATTGACCCAATTCTCCCAAAGGATAAAGCTTTAAGATGCAGGATCTGCAGAAATATCAGTCAACCAGGAGTCTATCCTGAGAGTATGCTGCAGAGACCAGCATTTCTCACGGGTCCCTATGTTTATGTCCATGGACCCCAGCTAGAGAATCAGTGGCTTAGTCCATGGTCACTTCTGATCCAGAGTGAGAGGCCAAGGGAATATCCATGAAAACTGCGAACAGGCGTCTTCACAAAGTTCTGGATAATATAGTGATCAGTTCTGAAATAGCAGTATCTAACTCATGGAAAATATTGATCTGAGAAATCCACACTTCCAATTTCATTCATTTATTCATCCTCTGTTTATTGAGTGCCAAATCTGTGTCAGGTATTGTGCTAGGCACTGGAGTTACTGTGTTAAGCTAGACAGCTACAGTCCTGTCCTCATGGAGCTTTTAGCCTCTAGCGGCGAACTGTGGCATTAAATAAGTAATCAACAGTGTGATTAAGGTTAGCGAAGGGTGGTCTTTGGGTGGAATAGGAACCTGTATAGCAAGGAGACCTACCCATGGGTCAGAGATTTGTGCAAGAGGAAAGTGGCATAAGTTTCAAAGAGAAGTCTAACACATTATCAAGGATATAATTTAGGGAGAAGATGGCTGCACTTTAAAAAAGGAGGATTTGGTGGCATTAAATCCTGAAAGGACCATAATCATGCAGGTGCACTGGAGATGGCTGGAACTGATAGATACAAAGGCTTTGAAATGATTCTTATGGAAGATGGGGTGCTCTCTCCTCTTGCCTCGTGGTTCCTGATCTGGGCAGAGAGGAGAGTTCTTACCTGGAGCTCAGCATGGTGAACCTGGGCTGCAGCTGTGGCCACCTGGTCCTCCAGATCTGCCAGTTCGGTTTCATCAGTGCCACTGTGGATGCAGCGGGCAGCATCCTCCAGCTCATTCAGCTGGCCTTCGAGTCCATACACGGTGCCTGCTGCCAGGTACACCTGTGGAGGAGGCATAGCCTTTAAGCTCAGGTCTTCAACACAAGACAGGTGTGGCGCTTTTAGGGGACCCTGTTAATTCAGTGGAGTGAGAGAGAAGTAGGTTTAACATTGGGGAGAAAAAGACAGGGAATGCCCCCATTATAAACATTCTTCTCACTCAAATGGTAGCCTGAGGTCTTACCACCCCCTCACTGTCAACTGCATCTTCCCTCCCCCATAACTTTCCTGCAAAAAAAGCAATTTGTAAATTTTGAAAATGTGATAAAATAGTGCAAAATACATGACATGAGCTACATACATTGCAGATTTTTCTAGTGACGATATCATCCATAATATCAAGATAGAAGAAACAAAGAGAAAAACTCATGATGTGGTTTGTCCAATAAAAATTTTGGTTGGCATTTAGTAATTGGGAAAATTCAGGAAACACGACAGAAATGAAATTAATTTAAAACAGTTACAAATTTCGAGTGAATTATCTCTGATTAATTACCTTCAGCTTGCTTGAAACAAGTTAAGGGAATTAAAATGAACCTGAGATTTGTAGTAGGAAAATACTTTTTTTCTTAGAAAGTACTGTGATGTTAAGAGAAGCATGTCAAATCTATTTATCTGTCAGTTAAGAAAGTTTCTTTTTTTTGGAAGATTAGCTCTGAGCCAACATCTGCCACAAATCCTCCTCTTTTTGGTGAGGAAGATTGGCCTTAAGCTAATATTTGTGCCCATCTTCCTCTACTTTATATGTGGGATGCCACCTCAGCATGGCTTGACAAGTGGTGCTAGGTCCACACACAGGATCCCAACCAGTGAACTCCGGGCTGCCAAAGCAGAGTGTGTGAACTTAACCGCTGTGCCACGGGGTTGGCCCCCAAGACAGTGTTTTGAGAGCTATTGAAAATTAAAGAGAAAATCAGATAAAGACAGTAATTTGAAGAAAAAATAAAGGAAAAAACATTTTGACTTTAGAGGTTATAAGGTGACTCCCATAAAAATGGGCACACAGAAAGTAAAATAGTTGCAATAATTCAGACTAAGGGATACTGGGCAGGGTGAATGAAACAAATGCTTCTTCAGCCTAATTAATAATGTGATGAAACAACCAACAGCACAAGGAAGGAGATATATCTAAAGAACATAATTAGAGGCCGGTCTTGTGGCATAGTGGTTAAGTTTGGCATGCTCCACTTCAGTGGTCTGTGTTCCCGGGTTCGGATCCTCAGTGCAGACCCATACCACTCATCAGCCATACTGTGGCAGAGACCCACTTACAAAATAGAGGAAGATTGGCAACAGGTGTTAGCTCAGGGCAAATCTTCCTCCAGCAACAACAAAAGAAAGAAGGTAATTACTTAAAGAGAGGTTCAGGAGGTTTAGTCAATGTATATAAACCTCTAAACACATAATGACAGCAATTTAGGGTTTATCTGAATGAAATGCACAGTCAATTCTTTAACTGTCCCTTTAACTTTAGTTAAAATATATAAGGGTGTTAGGACAAGCCAAGAGCTTGTGCACACAAGTCATGCACATCTTTTGTATTGAGTGATGCTGAGTGTAGGTAAAGAGGGGAAAGATCCGTAAGATGTTCCTACTCTGTCAATTCCTTGGTATGACTCATGCATCTGCACTAAAACTGGCAATTTTACAAAACATTTCGAAGTGGAGCAAAGGCGGGTATGGGTATGATGAGAGAACATTTGACTACGCATCATAGAGCACAATTAGCTGGGCCGTGGGAGTTTCCAGTAGTGACTGACACAATGGACATCACGGTAAGTGACTTGTCAGTCATAGACGGGGCCATGAATCTAATATCTGGGGGCAATTGCCATATTTCAGTCTGCCCTTAGTTTTATATTTCTTTACCATATGTATTAGAGAACTTCTGTTTCTGAAAGATCCTTTCAGTTTAATATAGCCATTGATTCTTTGCCTTCAAAACAAGAAACATCTCTTTATTGTTTGTCATAAGAAGGAAATGATGAATATTTCAAAGCCATTTGAGAGGAGAAATTTTTAAAAATTTGTTTTAAAAGTTTTAAAGTCAAAAAACTTCTCTTCAGAGGGGAAGAAAAATTGAGGAGAGAGAGAGAGAGGAAGAAGAAAAAGAAAAAGGAGGAGGCAAAGGAGGAGGGAGTGTGGAGAGGAGAGGAGGGAGAGAGATGCTACGGCTGTTTTGAGTTTGGATATTACACTCTTGCTACCCACACCCAAAAAAGGTGAACTTGTTTTGATAAGATAAAATGGAAACTTACAGTTTTGCACAATGAAACAAAATTTAGAATTATTATTTAAATGAAATGAATCATTTGAGTGTGGCAATGGTTCAACATAACTTGACATAACTTTGCTCTCTGAACCTTGATTTTATCAGAAAACTGATTTGCTGATTTTATCAGCAAAACTCAAGGGTCATCACACGCTCCGGCTTTGCTGCTCCACCTTCAACATGGTCACCCACTAATGTTCCTTGTTTTCTCCACCAAGACAAAGCCATATGAAATGGTTTCAAGCCCACAGCAAGCCCGGAATGTTCTGCTTTTACTTCATGTTCCCTAAAAGCCTGCTTTCCTGGCACTGGAGGGACAGGGAAGTTCAGTGGTTTGGCGCTGACACCAGCTGAACAGGAACTTACAGCCAAGGAGATGGCTCCTAAAGGACTGGAGGATGACGATGACGGAGAGGATGGGGATGATGATGACGACACACATTTATTGAGCCAGGCACTGAGCCAAGGATTTTATGTGACTTATCTTATTTAATGCTCATGGCAGCCCTTGAGGTAGGTATGCTTCTAACCACTATGTCAAGGATGAGAAGATTATGTCCTGGACGTTCAGTGATTTCTCCAGCTGGGAAATGGTGGAGCCTGGATTTGAGCTCTGGAAGGCTGATGCCAGATCCCATGCCTTTATCCACCCTGCCCTATGATGCCGTGATACTTAATCTCGGTTAGAATGTTATGAAAATTTACATTTCCAGCTTTGATATAAAGGTACTAGAGTTACTGTGGTTGTAGATGGACATGATATTGGTTCTTTTGCTTGGCTGAAATAACAAAAGTTAACATGATATACAATGAAAATATTATTCCAGTCTTAAAAATTAATCCCTTTGAAAAATGTTAACCTGGAATTGCTTGCTTAGTTAAGGTCCACTTTTGGTGAGAACTATGGTTACATGTCTGAGTGATCTCTGTTGTCTTCAAACTCTCGTCACTGATGCCTATGACCCCATTGACTGGCTCCTGCTTCAACAAGCCTTTCTCAAAGTGGTGTAAGGGATGAGAATAGGCGTTTCATTGGTTAAAGCCCCAAGGATAAAGAGCATTAATGTCTTGAGCAGGATTTCTCAGAGTTTTTAATGTACTGATATGTATCTCAATTTTCCCAGAAAGAGTATGCAGCTTTTTCAAAATTATTTGCTCTTAGAACATCTTGCTGGACGTGGCTTCCATGAAATATACTTTAGGGAGCTAAGGTTAGACAGTAACTGATAGTGTTTCTTTTCCCCACCTGAGTAACCATGACCACCTCCTCAAGTTCTCGTGCCACATCCTCTCCTGTGCTGTGGAGGTTGTACGAGAGCCTTGAGAAGGAGGAACAAGGTCCTCTGCCTGGCCCTGGATTCTGTGACAAGGCTGGGTTCCCCATGGGGCAGTCTCACTGTAACTGCTGCCACTGGTTGTATATTACATGGACAATGTATTTCGTGTTGCTGAGAGTTATAGGGCCAAGCTAAAAGGCAAGTTAGGACTGACCTTCTACTTTCTCTTTTGCTGTGAGTTACCGGGTACCCTAGGTTAGCAAAGCTGAGAATGAGGAAGGTCCTCAGATGAGGGTGGGAGGGTGAGGAAGCTGACTCATCCCTCCCACTCACAACCCTGCATAAATTCTCAAGGTGGCTCTTGTGGGTCTCTAATATTCACACCACAGGTCTGAGAATGGTTATGCTAGTTGTTCTCTGTTGACCCCTAGATCCATTTTCCTTCTCTGCCCAGCTTCGTTCTCCCTGAGGCTGACCTGTATGAACTTCGTCACTAAGACTCCCTTGCTGGCTGGGATGGGTTTGGCCAATGGGAGACACCAGCAGGAGAAGAAAGAGTTAGTCTTTCTTCCCCTGCTTTCTACCTGCATTGGCTCCATGGTAACAGCTCCTATTAGGGGGCACTTTTCCAGGTTCCAGTCCTCCCTGGGCTGTACTCCTCAGGGTTGGGACCCCTTCCTCCTACTGCTACTCTCTGGGCACTACAGCATCCCTTACCTTGCCCACATCTCAGTTAATAGTTTCTTCCTGAAACTCTCCTCTCCCATTCGGGCCCCTACAGGTGCAATAGAACCCTATGCTTCACAGCTCTCAGCAAGAGCTTCAAATACAAGAGATCCAGGCATTCAATCCAAGGAACAGAGCCCCTACTGTGTACGCAGGGGAGGCTATTGACCCGAGGTTCCTCCTGCCTTTAGGGAGACAAGGGCTGGTTTCACCGTGCTGATAGCCGGCAGCAGGTGAGAGACTAAAGGAATTCTAAAATCCTCATGCCCTACCCTAATTAAGTGGCTTAAGAAGGCAATTTATTAAAACAGGAGATTCGACATATGAATGTGACATTTTTTTGTTTCCTCTTATGTAGCTCTGAGGCCTTCAGAAATATTTTTAAAAGTGAGATATTCTCAAGCAGATGTTCTCTTTTATCTCAGAGTCCTGGTCTGCGGTAGCTGGTGTTCAGAAGGCGAGAATAAGTGTCGCTATTTCTATTTCTGACAGTCCCCGGGTTCCACAGCACAAAGGAGAAAGACAGCAGAGGAATGAAGGGGCAGTCTTTAGAACACAGTCAGACAAAAACCATGGTTTAATTAAATCAGCTGCGCTGAGACGCCAGCGTAAGAACCAGCGCTGCCCTTCTCCTGCTGCTCAGCTGAATTCCATCCTGGGAACCACAGACCGTAGCAACCTGCCCATGCTCTGTGATCTGGCGAACGAAAGAGATAAAGCAGAGTCACTCCCTCACTGACTCAGAGACCCATAAAATTCAAAGGAACATAGATGGAATTTCTTCTGAGGTGAAATTTGAAAACCTGGACGGGAGGAAGGGAAGGAAGAGGAAGAAGGCAGTTAACTCCTTGGGAACAGGAGAGGCATCTTCGAGGTGCTGGGCAGGGGAGAGTAAATGACAAACGCCAGCCTCTCAGGACTGTCCTTGCTGGGGTTTCTGACACCTTCAATCAGTGGGTAAGTGGATGTGTTTCAAAGTGAAAGTGTTAACGAACCCAAGAAAAGAAACATAATGCATAATAAAAGGATCTTACAAGATGAAAACTCCCGACAAGCCTATGGCATTTTTCAGCATGCTCCTTAGGGGACAAAAAAGGCACACTGTCTTCGCTGTAAGTGTGCCATGGGAGCTGGTGGCGTCTGGGTATTTCACGCATTGTAAGTGTTTTTGATACAATACTTTGTAAAAAAATACATCCCTTTCCTCGTGAACTATGTCTCTACTTTAACCTTTTCAATTCTGTGTCCAGGATTAGGGCCATTTTAGGACTATCAGCACTGAAAGAACTGTGTTATAGACATATTTAAACATCACGGACTTGTACTTTAGAAGTAAGACATTTCTTCTTTATAAAAGAACTTCATTCATGTGATATCATCATACATCAGCTAAACGTTTGTTGGGCATTCCTCTGTGTCAGGCTCTGGGTCAAGGGCCAGGGCTATAGACATGAAAGACAGCAGGCCCTGTTCGGCAGGAATTTATACAGCTGGTTGCCAAACTGGGGGTGATTGTGCCCCTGACTCCTTGCATCGCCCCATCCTCTAACATTTGACAACGTCTAGAGACATTTTTGATTGTCACAACTAGGAGGGTGCTGCTACTGGCATCTGGTGGGTAGAGACCAGGGATGCTGCTAAACATCCTACCCCAATACACAGGACAGCCTCCTGCGGCAAAGAATCATCTAATCCAAAATGTCAGTGGTGCTGATCTAATGGGAGATAGACACATGAACAGAAAGGGCAGCAAAGCGAGGTGAGTGCTCAGATAGAAGACTACTGAGGTTTTATGGGAATCCAAAGGGAAAGAGTCTTCAACTTTTAAAGTGAAGCAAATATTGGCATTTTTTTTTTTTTACCTTGAGTCATTTTGATTTGTTGTTGTTTCAACTTTGAGCAAAAATTACTTCTAATAACAGTTCCTGAAACAGCATTCATTAGAGCATCCCAAAATCAGGGTTCATTCTGCTGGGTCTGGAAAGATGGGATCACTTGACTTAATCTGATATCAGTTTTGTGGCAGGACTATGCCAGCTGGTGACGGTGACAATGGCCTCCGTGGCCAATGTCCCAATCTCTCTATATCACCGTTGGTCTACAGTGCTGGAAAATTCTCATCAAGTATTTATTGAAATACACAACAATGATCGTGGATATCTATAAGTAAGAATCTATCACATTCTTTCTTTCCTCACAAGTCAGAAGGATAGAAAAATCCATTGCTGGCAGACTTATCTGTGAAGCAGGGCAGACCAGTTGTAGTAACTAAGTTCTATTGGCAACCACCCTCATTCCCTGTGGGGCACTGGCAATGCTCCACCTGGATCCCCATGGATTCCTTTTATAGTTTCTGCATACTCCCCTCCCAATCCCTCAAGCTTCAGTGTGCTTTTTGTTCCCAACAACTCAAATCTATACATAAGACTACCTTTGGGCTACCATCGACACTTTGCTCCCACCTAGCGACTGAAGAGCCTGCTGGCTATAGAAGGGCCAGTTCCTTTGCCTGACGTCAGGACAACTCTGAGATGTAACTGATACCCCAGAGTTCCCTGCAGGATCAGGTCAAAGCTACTCTTTGTCTAAGATCATACCTTTGCTTGGCTTCTTCCCTCTCCCGTTCTTTCCCTACTCCCTTACCAGCCTCCCCTGGGAGCACTTCCTTAATAGATCACTTATGCGCAAAGCCTCATCTCAGGGTCTGCTTCTGGGAAACCCAGCCTAAGTCCCTTCCTGAGAATGTGTTTGCTATGGTGGTGGTGGTGGTGTGTGTGTGTCGTTGCACTCTTTGTGATGAGTTATAACTTCATCAGCTTCTTCTTCACACGTTTGCCCTGACGTGGCATATCCACACTGTCTTACATTTTCTTCCAGGGAAGTCAGCTGCTCATCCAGTCTCACTTGGTCTGTCCCAAGAGGAAATGTCTCCTTCTCTCTGTCAGGAGGGACAGGTGGGAACTCCCAGGGCCCTGCAGACTCTGCTATCAACTCCTCTGTGGCGTTGATAACTTTCAGGACTTCTGTGGAGATGTTGCAGAGAGAAACAGCAGAATACTTCTGTTTGGTCCAATAACAGAAGGGGACAGAAGACAAGAACAGCACATTAACAATGACATGGAAATTCTACATTATCATGGTGCTCATCATGCGATTGATTCTATTATAACATATACAAACATCAATGTGCCGAAAGAACGTGAAGCTAAAAAATCCACATAGCAGGAAGGAGCCTAGAGGAGGCCTGATCTGACCTGGCCTAGCTTCTGTGACTCTCACTGAATTATTTCAGATTCTTAGGGAGGGAGGAAGGAAAGCTCAAGTAGAAGCTGTTACGTCCTCTGCCCACTGCCGACAGCTTTGTATCCATTACCTAATTTTCTGGATGATATTTTACCTCCTCAGTGGAGCTTCAGGCACAGACTCTGTCAAACTACACCCATGGTGTGGTCCAGCGGGTAGCCTTCTGGACTGAGAATTAGGAGACTTGGGCTCTAGATATGGCTCTAACTTCATCTAGTTATGCAACCTTGACCAAGTCACTTCCCCATTTCTGGAGCTCAGTTTTGTCACCTGTACAATGAGAATATTGGAAAAGAGTTTCTCTACAGTGTCTTGATTGCTACTGTATTAGCTCATAGACCTATTCTCAAACCCATTCTCCCCTACTGTCCTCCACCATGGAGGCTAAACCAAAAATAATACTCCATTTCCCAGACTCGCTTACAGCTAGGGGTGGTCATGTGACATAGTTCTGACCAGTGAGCCTGAAGGGAAAGCCTACTGTGGGGGTTTCTAGACAAGCTTTTGTTTTCCTAATCAGGTAAATAGATGTAGCTGATGCTGTCCTTCTCCAGTTCTTTCTGCTTTGATCACAGATGTGCAGTCAGGACAAGGGTGAGGAGGAATACCAAAATGCTGAGTAAGGTGGATCAGAAAGAGCGAAAGAGCGTGGGCCCAGATAGCACTGGATCAGCCGGACCACTGTGAGTCACCACCTGCCTGTGAACATCTTGTTACATGAGAAAAATAACCCCTTCCACTGAAGCCACTGTTGGCCGGGTTCTCTGTTATCTCTGGCTGAATATATTCCTAACTGACACAAGTTGCTTCTAGCTTTTACATTCATGGCTCAAAATTACAAACAGTCGAGATCTGGGCTAAGGTCATTAATGGAGTAGAGGTACTTCATCCACAAAGAATTATCTGCATCTCTGAGTTCATCTGAACATATAGCACGAAGTTGTAAGCTGGAGATCAATGTTGCTTGGCAGTAATGGTTTCCATCTATTATTAATTTTATTTATCCCATCACAGGATTTGTAAACTGGAAGTCAAATATTGCCTGCACGTGTGTGTGTGAGTGCGCGCGTGTGTGTGTATGTTTACCAGCAAAATGTTTCGAGAAAATCTGCGATTTTAATGCCTTTGGTACCTTCTAAGGTACTTATCTGACTCATATTTCCTGGCCAACATACTAATGATAGCTATGGCTTGATTTTGCAAATTTTGTTCCTTCAAGTAGATTCTACCGCAGGTTTTGTTTCACTGGAGGATGTTTTCAACAGCCCTCATGCTTCATTAGGGAATAAAAGTGTCTAAGTGACAGGTTAGTGGCTGACTCCACAGTGTAGAAGCTGGTTCTGGGATTCCACACTAAGGCACATGGTCTCATACCTGTCAATCCATCCTAGGGTTAGGGAACGTGTGCTCAGTGGGCTCCTCTCCAGCCTGTCTATTCCACAACAGCCAACAGTTACACTCATTTTTGTTCAAGAGATTTTGCTACTAACCAAAAAAAATTGGGTCTGGAGTATCAGAATGGGATGGAGAGATGGTGACACAGACATGCCAGAATAAGGGCAGTATCCAAGGGAGCAGTCAGGACCAACTCTTCATTTTAGGAAAAACTTGCAAAGGCTGTCCACAACTATCATGACCCTATAACTTGACGTGGCAGATTTTGGAGATGAATTGGGCTCAAAATGATTTTGGCATGAAACAGCTGCCACTGTTTGCTTAAATCCATTTTAGAAAGGGCAATGCTGTATGTATGAAAGCAAATTTATTACTCTTCTCTTAGTAAATAAAACTTGCATCCAGAAAGTTTGCCCTTATTTGGTAGAAGAGATGCCTTTGTACATCTTTTGAAAAGAAAGACACATGAGTAAAGGATTCAGAAAAAAAAGATCACAGCATGATAGAAGAGAAAGTGAAAATTTACACAAATCTCTAATTAGTCCAGGATCATTAAAGGGCCAAAGTTATTAATGGGAATGACTTAAGAGGTGCTTAACCATGAAGAGGAGTTATCTGCATCCTGACTCCAATTAAACATATAATATCAAAGCAATAAATTGGACATCAGTGTTGCTTGGCAGTCATTGTTCCATTCCATTCATAAATAGCCTCCCTTATTTAATCATAGGAGTTGCAAGCTGGATGCCAAATATTACCCAGAGGCATGCCTTTTTTTTTTCTTTTGAGGAAGATTAGCCCTGAGCTAACTACTGCCAATCCTCCTCTTTTTGCTGAGGAAGACTGGCCTTGAGTTAACACCCATGCCCCTCTTCCTCTACTTTATATGTGGGACGTCTACCACAGCACGGCTTTTGCCGAGCGGTGCCATGTCTGCACCCAGGATCCGAACCGGCAAATCCCGGGCCAGTGAGAAGCGGAACGTGCGAAAGTAACTGCAGCACCACCGGGCTGGCCCCACAGGCATGCCTTTTGACAAGAATGCCTTCTGTGAGATAGGCACTTCCTAGTTTTCTGCAGTCCCCATTGTTCATTCTACATACTTTACTAGGGGGCCTGTGGTGTGCAGGCTCTGCTCCAGGTGCTGGGATAAAGCAGTGGACAATGGATGAAGTCCTTGCCCTCATGGCATGCCTTTAGTCCTACCCCATATACCCTATGACATATATTCTTGGCCCCTAAAGGTACTTGCATTTGCCCTTGAGTCAGAGTGAGGAGTCCCAGCAGCTGGTCTGAGGAGAGTGCCACAGCTTCACTTTGGAAGGTCTCTGGTCTGATTAAAGCCCTAGAACACTGCAGAGGGGCACTAGCCCCCCGCAGGGGGAAGTGACTGAAAAAAAAACTGCATGAAAAATGGACAAGATCTGTTTGTTTGGTGACCCAGTTTTGCTCTCGATGGGAAAACACAAATTGGAATCCACAAGCACTTGTCGGGAAGCAACCCCACCCGCAGAGAATCAAGTGTGCCTCGTCCATTACACAGGTGTGGGCTGTTGGCGGGGGATGCGGGGGTGGGAATGGACGGTGCACCCAGTGGAAGTTCAGATAACTGGGATTTAATTAGCTGGGGCACCTCCCCTCCCTGTTCCGGAGTTTACTCACTGGCCCAGTAAGAGATGAGAAGATTTGCTACAGGGCTAACAATGACTTGTAATGTAAATGTCCTGTTCCCTGCCCAGTCTAGATTTAAAAGCAGAAAGCACCTTCTACAATTACATTAAATAAAGCCATATTTAGCACTGGACAGGGTTTTGTTCAGATGAAAAGCTAGTGGGGATTCAAGGGCCCTGGCAGGGGGAGAAATGAAAAGCTAAAGGATCCTTTTTGCTTTATTGCTTACAGCCCAGAGAGATGAGCAAAACTGGCACAAAGCACGATTCGAGAGCCCAGAGAGAGCTCTCTATCACAGTAGCTGATGCTACTCCAGACGTTAATGACAAGATGGATCAGATGTGACAGTTTCATGGCATCAAATAAGGGAGAGGTGAGAGTGTGGAGAAAATCAGCTGACAGAATAGGAGCCACTGCAGAAGAAGGTTGGCCTCAAAGACATTTGTGGCCAAGGGCCCCAGAGATAATAGAATGAAAATGGCCAGTGAGCCCACATAGTCACCAAATTCAACGTTCTAGAGATCAAAGAAATACAAATTAAACAACACATTTTATTAAGTCCCACATACATGCGCAACTCCCTTTTGAAATGTCCAGCGTGTGCCAATACGACTTCACACAGCTGGAGCGCGTGCTTTGAGTTGTTGATCCACCATGGGATGCGTTTGCTCTGATGTACTCACACTCCTCGTTCTCCCGACCCCAATGGTCACCACTCAGAGCACGAGTGTCCACTTCTAGGGTTCAGTCTGGGTCACAGCCCCATGTGCAACATCAAATCAATAATGTCAACTTCACAACCTCTGGGGCTGAAGCAAACAGTCCACCCCTCGGGGTACAGAAGGTGATGAGATACACTCCAGTGTTTTCTTGATTGCTTCTCGGCGAGGCAGAGAAACAAGCAATCTTAACCAAGACTTAACAAAACATGGTTCCTGCCCGGCCGTAACCAGCAATAGGACCATGCAGACCTTTAAGAAGGTTCTGAACCACTGTGAGGTTGGGGTCCTCCCACAGTGGCCATTTCAATGGACCCAAAACTGTAGCCTTGGCAATCTCTCCATCCTGTCCCCATGCACTTTCTCTTCATATAAAACATGTTCCTAGAAACCAATTCTACCTCCATTTACTCTTCCTTATAAACTGTTTTCCAAAGACATGCAGAATGCGAGGTGCTGCCAAGGGGAGATTCAAAGTCTTCAGAATTCTAAAGAAGAAAACATTTTCACCCTAAACACTAGATAGATCTGCTTATTAGCAATCCTTGAAAATTTTCCTGAGATTTTTCCAGTGCTAGCATTCGTTTCAAAGCTCTGTGTTAGACAAAGAAATGCAAACTCATTTCAAACTGGAATAAACAGGAATGCTCCTTACCAGAATATCTCAAGCTTGTGAACATATGAGCAGCAGGGGCTCATTAGATGCCTGGCTTCATAGAAATAGAACACTGTGGAATGACAGAGGGCTGATTCCAGCCCCAGCTCTACCCTTGGGCATGTGCATGCATGTGTGTCTGCCGGCTCAGCTGAGCCAAAACAGATTTGGTGTCTGGCTGTGTATGATGAACTGGGGCTGCGACAGAGGCCTGGGGTATCTATTTATGCAACTTGATATGATATAATCTAATACAATGTGGGGGAAGCTTTGAGGATTAAATGAGGTGCACAGGTATCTGGAGCAGAAGAGAGATT